AAGTCGGACGCCCAACCGACCAAGCCACCCAGGCGCCCCTAAGTGAATAATTTTTTTGCCTTCTAAATTACTAAGTAGATACACTTTGTGCAGCAGTGCAACTAGCAAAGGGGGTGTGGGACACCAGCCACCACTAGGGGCTGCTCAAGAATCCACAAGATTCTCAACCCTTTCATCTGCTTTTTTTTTCTTTTAAAGAAGAAAAAATGAAGCACCTGGGTGGCTCAGTCGGTTAAGCGTCCAACTTCGGCTCAGGTTGTGATCTCACAGTTGACGAGTTCGAGCCCCGCTTTGGGTTCTGTGCTGACAGCTAGGAGCCTGGAGCCTCCTTCGGATTCTGTGCCTCCCTCTCTCTCTGTCCCTCCCCAGATCCTGCTCTGTCTCTGCCTCAAAAATAAAATATAAACATTAAAAAGAACCTTGTTTTTAAAGAAGAAAAACTGGAACATGACAAATGCTTACTGGGTCCACTGATTTCCAGAAAATGTGTGCTTAAATGAAGGCCATCCTGGACACCAAAGGTACAACAGATACTTTTATTGCACATTTATAAAATCTGCATAGTTGTATCGAGTGTTCTTCCCGCCCACTATTCCCTCATTAACGTTAAAATTTGGTTAAAACACAATATCCAATCTGGAGCCTTTTAAAAATGGTCAACAGGGGATAGTTCTCTCTCTACATATACATATATATATTCTTTTTTTTTTCTTTTTACAAACCCTCACCCCTTATTTTTTTTTCGGAGCACAAAAGGGGAGGGGCATCCAAACGTTCTTTGGGGCCAGCAGCGGCCTCAGACACCTGCTGTTGACAGTTTTCGGATGCCAGAAGCTTTTACTGAAATCCCAACGCTCTCCTGTCTTAGTGACGGTTCACAACGCCGTTCAGTCTAAGGTCCTTACTGCTTTCCTTTCTTTCACTCGGGACTGAGTGTGAGGTTTTCTGGTTTATTTAAAAAATATAAAATGAGAGAGAGAGAGAGAGAGAAGAAAGGAAAGGCAGTTTTCTTTTGACTTTGCAGCCCTTGCTGCCACGTGCCCTTAGGTTTCTACCCACACGTGAAGGGCGGTAGTTCATTAGCAATGCATTTTGTCTTCTCCCATCAAGAGACAGGCGAGGCTCAGAGCTCTCATCTCTTGCCATTTAGAACTTTGAAATGTCATCTGTATTTGATAAAATAACTAGTAGCTGTTCATCTGGTTCAGGTTCTGATGGATCACCCTTCTATTCCACTGTCAAAAATATTTATGCCTGCAGGATAATTTTAAAAGTGGCAAGAGAGTTACAAAAAAGCTCGAGCATTCGAACACGCGTGTAGGTACAAGAGGCATTTCAGGTCTTGTGACGTAATTCGATACCTTAATACAATGGTTCTTGTCTTTTGTGATGAAATTGCTTTTATGATTCTGTACCTAAAAAGTGCAATTTTATTTTCAATCCTTCTTTACACGCAGAGCATGGTTGGGGGCTGGATCTGAATCTTACTTTCCCACCTAATTCCTTCCCCAGGGCAAACACTGTGATGACAGACTTCTGTGCAACAGGCAGGCAGCCACGGACCAAAGTGGGCCTTGAACATGTGGGGGCTTACTTCACTGTCACAGTTGACACCCCCTGAATTGACTCCATGACAGCTGCAAATCGGCTACAAAGGTCATAGGGAGAATTGGGTCGAATAGTTGGAGGCTCCTTCAAGACAATGATTTCCGCAGAAGGATCGAGAAGCCTGGGTAGGAACTCCCCTAAGCACAGCTGTAGATTTTCTGTGGAGGGAAAGCAGATGGTTACATATACAGCTAAACAGATCTCTGAGTAAAAACTAGTTAAGTCTGCAACTATATGGGAAGGTCTTCCACAGAGTCCATCCATCACCCAGCCTCGAAGGTCACTGCATTGTGCTGGCCAGCTAACAACAAATAACAATTCCTTTAAGCCGAACCAGGAGCAAAGACTACTTGCCAGATATACCAAAGAGTGAGGTCACTGCTTTAAGCCGTATGATGTGTGCTAGGATAACACTACCTATTCATTTCACTGGCAGGCCTTCTAATCTACCATCCGTCTAAAATTTGAAAAACTGGACAGGCTACTCTCTACCATAAATAGAATGGTGTATTTTCTTTCGATGATTAAAGCATACCAATGTGCACACATGGCATTAAGTAAAGGTATATCTCACACACACACACACACACACACACACACACACACACACACATAGACATAGTCTAAAGAAAAACCCAAGACGTTAAAAGGAAATTCATATTAATACTGTAAATGTAAACACTTCAATAAGTCAATAGGATATCTTTACATCAGTGAAAAATTACAATACATACCAACTTTCTAAGTCTACCAAACTCACCTAAAAATGACTAGTTTTAAGCTCCCCTCTCCAAAATGCTTTGGACAAGCAAGACTATTTCATTTGCTATCCTACTAATCTCAAGGGCATCACAGTTAATAGTGGGTGTTCTGTCTTACAACTTCAAGTCACAGGAAAATTGAGTTATAGCACCATCAGGTAATCAAAGTGCATAAACATTTTGATTTTTAAACTATAAAATTGGAGTTCAGATTTTGACAGATGAAAAAGTAATGCAAGTCTGACGTCCCTGGAGAGGAGAAAAATTTTTAACAGGACTTCTGGGCTGTTTGTGAAGTCTTCAGCAGCCACAGAGGAGGTGAAGGAAGGTTAAGAGGGACAGAGGCCTAGGATCCTGTCCCTTGTTTCAGTAGAGCAGAGCCACTTCCAACCAACTTCAATGCTTCAATAATCCTTTAAAAAGGTTTGATAACCAGTGCTATTGAGTAAAAGCACTGTAATTTCTAAAAGTCTCAAGAGCCTTAGAAATTATTGCAAGTGAGGGAGGGCTTGGGTGGCTCAGTCAGTGAGTGTCCGACTCTTGATCTGGGCTCAGGTCATGATCTCACAGTTGTGGGAGTTCAAGCCCTGCATGGGGCTCTATACTGACAGCAAGAAGCCTGCTTGAGACTCTCCCTCTCTCTCTGCCCTGCCCTGTTTGCACTCTCTCTGTCTCTCTCAAAATAAATAAACTTAAAAAAAAAAAAAAAAGAAGAAGAAAGAATTTATTCCAAGTGCTAACAACAACATACCCGCAATATCTTGTCCAAGGTAAGAGCACCAATGGTTTCTCATGATCTCAATGGCATGTAGGTCATCCTTGGAGATGTCATTATTAATGATAAGGTGAATGCAGGGAATGATCAGCTCATTCATCACATTAATGCCCTCTGTTACAGAGTGGTCGTCGTTTGTTTCAAAGAGAGAAGCTGCCTTGGCATTCAGCTCCTATAGATAAAAGGCAGAGTGGGGGGCGGTGTCTGAAAAGGATAAATACCTATTTTAGAAGAGCCTAAACAAACGGTTCCCAAGCTTTACTGCATATTGGAATTTCCTGGGAATTTTAAAAACTACTGATGCCCCATCCTAGATACACTGATTTGACTGGTATGCAGGTGACTGGGGCACTGGGATTTTTAAAAGCTCCCAAGGCGATTCTAATGTAGCAAAGTCTGTGACCCACTTACCTAAACTTACAAGTCCAGGTCTTGCTTAACACATGCTTCAACTAAAAGGCCTATTCAATGGCTCTCGATCTCCACTGAGCACCACAATCACCTGCAGAAGACATGCTGATGCCCTGGGCCCCTCCCCAGAGCCTCTGGTTTGACAGTCCAAGGAGGGAACGCTCCCTATGTCATTGTGATGCCTGCTGAATGCTGAGAGCCAGTGATGAAAAGAACCCAAATCACTGTTACCACCCACCTGCAGAAGCTGAGTAGGACATGCAAACTGTATTTGGTGATTTCAAACATAAAAGCATGGCTCTAATAAAATTCAGATCCATCAAATCTACAAGGCCCTTCTTTTAGCTTCAAAATGCCCTGCCACAACGTATAACTGATACGGAAATCAAGGTATAAATCAGAAAATGAAAATCTTGAGATGAATACACATCATGACTGAATCTCCTCCATCTGGTAGTAACAAGGCAGTGGCAGGAATGCTGGCCCAGCTCTTCCCGGGAAGGGCAATCCTGCTGGGTGTCAGGAAGACAAATGCAAGCTCACAATCAGAAGGCAAGCCACCCCTCTACAGATCTCTGAAGGACGAGCACTATATAAACCCTTGGATAGGCAGAGGGGATATGGGTCTGCCATCCCCCATGACTGCCAAATGCAAAACAGGCCAGGTTAGAGCTTCAGTGTTGTATGATAGTGATATTAACAGAACAGCAGGACGAATTTTTTTTTTTTTTAAGTAGACTTCGTGCCCAGCACAGAGCCCAACATGGGGCTTGAACTCACAACCCTGAGATCAAGAGTCAAACAGTTAACTGACTGAGCTACCCAGGTGCCCCAGCAAGACCAATTCTTATAATTTGTATCTTTTAAAAAAACAAAACAAAACTGCAGTCTCGGGGCACCTGGGTGGCTCAGTGAGTTAAGCGTCCAACTTTGGCTCAGATCATGATTTCACAGCTCATGAGTTTCAGCCCTGCATCGGGCTGTCGGCTGTCAGCAAGGAGCCCACTGCAGATCCTCTGTCTCCCTCTCTCTCTGCCCCTCCCCGCTCATGGTTTCTCTCTCTCAAAAATAAACATAAAAAAAAGGGGGAGAGGGAGGAGGAGTTTCTTAGAAATCACCAAATTCTCAATCTTTTAGCTTAGCAGGGAACATAGAAAAAACACTGCATTTCTTCAAGACACATCTATTACAGTCTTATGATGTGCCAGACACAGAGAAAACAGCTGAATAAGAAAAGGATCTGTGAGGGGTGGCTCAGTGGGTAAAGCATGTAACTCTTGATCTCAGGGTTGTGAGTTCGAGCCCCACGTTTGGTGGGGAGATCACTTAAAAAAAATAAAATCTTTACAATAAAACACACAAAAAGAAATAAGAAAAGGGTCTGTGTTCAACGAACTCACAATCCACTAGAGAAGCAATGCAGTAAACCGTGTAATGCAAGTGTACATAGAGGGCACAGAAAAAAGGATAACTGATTGTCATCCTAGCTTCTCTCGGGTTTGAAGAAGAATTATATTCATTTAAGTGACCTAAAATAATCTGGCTCAATGTACAACTACTCCTAAGAGTTTAGAAAAATCTACAACCTACCCAAGGTTATTTTGTTTTTTAAGTCGTATTTCTTCACGGCTTCAAGGAGCAGAGGTAAAGACAAGAAAATAATAAAAATCATAAGGCTTTACACAAACAGTACAAACCAGAAGGCACTTTCGTCGGTACAAAGCGATGACGGATTCCTTCACCCCCCGGCGGGGCCCCTTGGTCAGCAGGGCGGCATTGCTCTGGTAGGCATATACCAGGTAGGAGAGTGCCTCTTGGTACCTTAGAAAATGGTGGATAAATGACAGCTGAGTGCTCCTTCTTTCTCCAAAATCTAGGGCTCAGGCCTCTCTGTTCCCCAGCACAAAAATTTCTGTAGCTCCAATTATGGAAAAATAACTGTCCTAAGGACAGAGGCAGCGTGGGATACTCTGACTGCAGCCAGTCTCTGCCCTTCTACAGACTGGCCAAGAGACCCAAGGCCAATCGTGAAACTTCCCTGGCTTTCCATTTTCTTCAACTCTAAACCAGAGAAGGGGACTGCATGCTGACTAAGGTCCGTGACAACTCTAAACTTCATTTTCTGAGTTCATCTTTATCACAGAGAAAATCTGGCCATTACGTCTTTTCACCAATGTATCTATCACTACGTAAAGGATGAAAAACCACATGTGATGGTTAGTAAAACAGTGGGAAAAGCAGAGGTGCCCTGCCACGTGAGACAAGGGAGGGAACACATGGCTATGGTTCTCTCTGTTCCTGGGTGGCCACCAGCAGGTAACAGTGCCCTGACCAACAATCTGAGAGACATAAAAGGCCAACATACTTTCCTTTTTGGTAGAGTTCCAGACCCGTGAGGAGATACACAGACACCTTTCGAAACAAACTATAATCCTCATGCCACTTCTGCAAAGGAATGACTACCGTTAGCGATGATGGTCACCAGGAACTTTCTCTACACTTCCCACCACACTAAGTTTTAAACTCTATACAAATATTTATTGAGCACGTATGGCCAGGCACAAACACAACAAACACAAAAGCTTTTCGATAATGATGTGTTCAATATTTACAACAAAAGCCCACTGCTGACCTTCATTTTCAGTGAGCTATTACTTCCCGAGGAACAGAAATATTTATTTCACAGGAGCTTTAGAGTTTATTATTCTCATTTCCAACACCCCTGTCAAAGTCCTGCAGTTCTGGTTTCAACAGATGCCTCTCAGGTTCTGACAAAACCGTGCGTGTGCAGGGGACACGGAAGGACAAGGCTGTTCCAGTCATTCAGAAGAGCACTTGAGCTCAGTGGGGGTGCAGTGGGACCCCGTTAGGTGTCACAGAACACTGTTTTCCTTCTAACACACTGCTTTTTGGGAAATTTGCAGTTATGTATGCATTTTTACGCACAGAAGTTTCATTTGGAATACAGAAATACTAGCAAACAGTATTATTTTACAAGAAACCAAACCATGAATCAAGAATTTTACTGCCTGGGTCCAAGGCTGGAGTAGGTATTAAACGGAAAGGAAGCATTAATTTACTCCAATAGAAGAATCGAACAAAGAAACCGGCTACTCTGAGGGTTAGAGCTCATTTATCCATTGGCACCCAATTGTGGGTTTTTGGGGGGGAGCGGGTGGAGGCTAGTCAGTCTGTGATAACACAAAATTGTTACGTTTTGCCTCAAGAGTTGATGTTTTTGTTTAGCACACTTAAAGAGGAGACTTCACCTTGTACTCTTCCATATTCATGTCCTCTGGACCAATCTCCTGCAGCTTGGCCTGTGCCACCTTCATGATGCTGATGGACCTGGGTGGGCCGAGGTCAGAGAGCAGTGAGAGGCGCGGCCTTCCCGGCAGGGGTGGGAGGGGCTCGCGCCGGAAGTGGTGGGTGGTGCGCCTGCGCGCGTTTCCCTCCTCACCTTTCATCGTAGCTGAGATTTTTATCTGCAAACTGTTCCAGGAGGGTCCGCTCCACCACCCTCTTGGGCGCCTCATTTTGGAAAAAGTAGACAAGCACGTGTTGGAGCCGAGGGTCGCTGTGGGCCGTGGGCGTCTCCTTGGCCAGCTGGTAGAGCCTGGAGTACTCTTCGTGGAATGCCTGTTGACAAGGTCGGCAGTGAGCAGGAGGGGGCGCTGTGGCCTTCCGCTCGCACAACCCGATGCCTACGTTAGAGAGGTGTTGCAGAACTCCAAGAAGACTTGAAGGAGCTCCTACTGGGGAATTGCAGAGGCAAGTGCGGAACCTGGGACTTGTCTGCCTGTCACGAGGGCTAAAACTCGCCGTGGCACCGCAGACGCACTGTGCTCGTAAGAAATTTGTCTCTCGCATAAAATTCTAAGGAAAACGAGTATTTCGTTCTAATGAGTTTGGGCGTATCCTGGAGTTCCAAGGACCTGAATTTTAAAAATTCACATGAATGCAATTTATTCAAGTACCTTACATTTTATTCAGGTACCTTAAAAAGCAGGGCCTGCTTTCTTAGATCATCTTCTATCATGGCCCTCACACCACAGAGGCAGCTCTATTAATGGAGATCTCCTAAGGACCACGACCGGCCCTCCAGGCTAGTTGTGATCCAGTTGGGCACAGCTTGCCAAGGCTGCGTTCACCCCGAGAGGGGGCGCTGTCGGTGATGCAATACCGGAAGTGGAGTTTTAGGTGTTAAAGAAAAACACACTTCATCCCATTTTTTTTACCATCTAATAGAATTACGGCTCCATTATTATGATACTTGTGGTGTAAGGATATTAGATTAAAAAAAAAAACAGAGATACCTTAATAAGCCCTGCTTCAGACCCATCTCGGTCAAAGGTCTGACGGGCTTTAGCTATGGCCAGGATGACCCCTTGCATGGCAGGGCTCAGCATCACCTACCACAAGAAGGCACACAACACGGAGAGAAAAAGGAGAGAAGAAAAGTTCAAAAGAAGACTGAGTGACAGAGAGGCGAGTGGGCGGCTGAAGCGAAGCGGGGCAGCGTGCCCGCGGCTGGCCTAGATCTGCGCACCTGCCCCCCATGCACACCCACAAACCCCGTCCCTGCGCGGCATGTCGGGACTTTGCCCAAGACAGGCTGTTCCTATGTATTCTAATTTTGCGGATGAACTAAGACGGATATCTGAAAATATCTACAAATGGCGACTGCTGAAGAATAAGTTAAATTACAGGTCTCCCAGGGGAAGTGTCTGCAGTGAGAATTCCAATTTTGTTCTGTAATCTGGGTGTGTGTTCCAGTACACAAATATTCTAGAGTTTAACTAAAAATGTTTAAATGTTTTACACTTAAGACACTCGAAATTAGGCGATATGCTAATATGACTTTATAAAATCAAACGCTTTCAAAGATTTCGAGGGACAGGGTTCATGACTGCTTATGTGCAGTGACAACTCCAAAGGGGACGAACCATAAATAACGTGGGATCCAAAGCTTCTTCCAAAAGCTTTGGAATCAAAAACACCTTCGATTCACATTTGTTTTGCTCACTATACACCATTGCAAGTTTGATATTTGGGCAGAAAAAAATGGGCTAATACTACCAAAGACAAAGCCTCCTAATTGAAAAGGCCTTTTTTTTTTTCTCTCATAATACCAAAAAAGGAACTAAACACTACCTTTCTGAGCCACTAGACCCTGCAGGGGCCTCTGTGAGTATATGCCTGGGTAGATACACACCAGGGGCAGCGGACAGCAGGCACAAGGCTCCAAGGCTCTCTTTTAAAGAACAGTAGCTAAGGTCAAAACCAGATAGGCCCTCTTGTTCGTTAGTTGTTTCAATTAGGAATATTTGTTTCAATATGAACTACTGCCAAACACCTTAAAAAAGTAGATTCGGTCACATGGGGAGGCAACAGAAGAGCAGCGACACACAGCTGAATCCTGCACTCATCTCTGTACCTCCTCATCATATCCATCTGCGTCCGCTCTAACCAGAATCCTTCCCACACTGGGAATCTCGACTTCAGAGGCCTCAGAGTCAGGCTGGGCAGCAGACTCTGTGTCACCAGCCTTTGGGGGCTGCTCTGTCTGCCCTGCGGGGTTTGTTTCCGGGGACATGGGCTTCTCGGGCTCAACTTCCTGAAGCTGTGGCAGCAGGATGGGGAGAAAGAGTAAGAGAAAACAGGAGAAATAAAGAGGGGGTGGTTAAACGGAGCAGAGACACAGAATAATGGAAAGGTGGGGAACGGTGGCAATTCTGGCTGGCAGCAGGCGCCATCGACGTCCTCACCTCGTTCAGCGCGGCTTCCACGCCGCCCCGCTCATAGGCGTGTGCTGTGTTCGCAATCGCCTGCGCCGTCTGCTCCTTTGCGATCACAGCGTGCTCAGAAGACAAACAGCGGACCCCATGGGAAGAGGCTACTGAGGGCTCTGATAAAGAATGGCACAAAGGAATCAGCATCTGATGATAAGCAATGTCTAGAACACTCTGTAAAAAGGCAAGCAAAACAGACACGGAGTTTCATTTACAGCCCTTCTAACGGGCCTTTAAAAAACTAACCCTGTGCAGATTTCCCCTCGGAACTAGGGACTCGAAGAGGTTATCTACTTCAACGAGAGCCCACGGGTGGTTCTGTAGAATTTAATGTGCTCCCAACTTTGTCCTGTTTCTTGATGTCGAGGAGCCTTACCACAAACTGCTGCTGGTTAGAAGAGAACACCCTTGGAGAACCCTTATTAATGCCATCATACCTTCTCCTACAACCCAGGAAACATTGAAAACTGAACAGACTGAAAGTACAGGGAGCTGGTCTTTCTGATATTCTTTCTGCTCATCAGGAAGGACATTCTGAAGCCACAAGCTGTGCTGTGAGGTTGTGCAATACCCACGACATGTGAACTATACATCGTGCAGACTGGATGCTACTGGATCACTGGCTTGCGTGCCGTTCACCGATACCTGGGGATGTGGAGAAATCCTGGGACACTGAGCTGCTGGACGATTCCATCTGAGGGATTTTGCAGGACTGTTCTTCTTCCCACTCCTCGACCTCCTGCTCAAACCTCCAGTTATCTTCCTGAATGTAATGCTTCAGTTCAACAGACAGGGCATCCACTTCTCCCAACATCTGATCTGATTCAATTGGGGCCGCCTCTGAGTCAAGAGCAAAGACAGAGTTAAAAGGGAGTGCCATCCAGCAAAAGGTCACCAGGAATCAGAAGGTCCTTTCTAGAAAGAAGGAAAATAAGACACTCGGTCCTTTTTCTTACTCCACGTGAAAAATACACACATACATTCATAATCCAACAGAAGGACAATATAAAGCCAACAGTCACAGCACACCAATAAGTGTACCTGGAAGATTAACAGGTAGGCATACACTGAATATCTGTTGAATGGATGGATGAATAAAGAGTAAGAATTTGGAATAGAGGCCAATCACTGGCAAAATAGTAGGAACGGACCAAACATTTCTTGGAAATCCAGAAAATCGTTAGATCCAATGGGAATTTCAAGCTGAACGGTTTTATCAATGTAAACAGTACAACTATTGTTGATAAGAATATCCATCTATGGGTGCCTAGACACTCAGTCGGTTGAGTGTCTGACTTTGGCTCAGGTCATGATCTCCTAGTTTATGGGTTCGAGCCCCACATCAGGCTCTGTGCTGACAGCTCAGAGCCTGGTACCTGCTTTGGATTCTGTGTCTCCCTCTCTCTCTGTCCCCCTCCCCTACTCACTCATGCTCTGTCTCTGTCTCTCAAAAATAAATAAATGTTAAAAAAAATTAAAAAAAAAAAAGAATATCCATCTCAAGACGGTTAGAAGTGAATTCCAAGACATTTATACTGCCTCAAGTTTCACACATGTTAAGTGCTATCAGAAAGCCATGGGACACAATGCTTAGATGGTATATAATACCTAGGGGATAATTAAAGGCTTTGAGGAAAAATGACAAGGATATCAAGGGCATATTAAATTTCATTTCTAATCCTGTGACTAAATCAAAATACAAAAGCCTACAGTAGAACAACACATCTACTTCCTGGTTGCCATTAACTAGCCTTTTCGTTAGGAAAATGACAGCTTCCACTTATGTGTTTCTACAGTAGAAGAATGAACCATATGTGTAATAACAAGGCTGCCATATATACGACCAACAATAGTCCAGTCATTTGTACGCCCCCCACAAGCAGCTGTTCCCTCTTTCATGTGCAAAGATGCAATTATGAAGATCAGTTACTGCTAAGTGATCATTCTCTCCATCCCCTGGTCCCCCAGCCACACTGCCAATTGGAAAGACAATGCACTCCCTGGACAAAATGCCTTCTGTGTTTTCTTACTTACTCAACAAAGTACAGCCTGAATATGAAAAGAAAAGGTTTTCCGCGATTTTAGATGTGAAATGCTGGTCGCAAGACCTCGTCCAGAAAATGTGAAAGAAAGAAAGAGAGAGTAATGTAAATGGAAGGTGACAGAATTTGGAGTCAGAATTGGATCTGGAATCCTGGGCCTGCCAGCTGCTTACTGGCTGTGTGACTCTGGACGAGCAGAGTACCAAGAACATGCAGGTAATGAGTTCCTACTGTGTCTTTTAGAGTTCTAAGTTATTAGAGAAATAAAGCTTGAAAGATGTAGTAAGGAGTAAAGTTCTAATATAAATGATAATTATGATTGCTCTTAGAATCAGTTGTATTATGAGGGGTATGAAATTATTCAGGCAGATCTACTCATAGAATCTAGCTATTCTCAAAGGACGCAAAACCATATGCACAAAGATGGCACTAAAAAAGAAAAAAAATCAGAGACAATGTAAAAGTCTATCAGTGGGAAGCTGGCTTAACGAATTATATACATATTTCATGCAATGGAATTATTATGTAGTTGTTAAAAAGAATGAGTTGGTTCTATTTATAAAGATATAGAGATCATTGGGGCGCCTAGGTGTCTCAGTCAGTTAAGTAAGTGTCTGACTCTTGGTCTCAGCTCATGTCATGATCACATGGCTGGTGATTTTGAGCCCTGCGTCGGACTCTGCACTGATGGCGTGGAGCCTGCTTGGGATTCTCTCTCCCTCCTCTCCTGCTCATGCTCTCTCTCTTTCTCAAAATAAATAAACTTTAAAAAAAAAAACAGAGAGAGAGATCACTAATACACATGAGTGATGGGAAAGATGCAGGATAGAATGGAAAAATATCCCATTTGGGGGGGGAAATGGGGTGGGGACAGACACTGATAGATAAAACCTAGCATGTGCCTAGATCACTTCCTGAATACTACATAAGAAACCTAAAGAACAGATATATGTTGGGCTCCAGGATAGAAGCAGGAAAGCAAACTTATTTCTTTTCATTCTATTTTGCACTGTATTTTTTAAGTGCATTATTACTTTATAGTAAGTTCTAATTCAGGGGCGCCTGGGTGGCTTAGTTGGTTAAGCAACCGGCTCTTGGTTTCGGCTCAGGTCATGATCTCACGGTTTTTGAGCATGAACCCTGAATCGGGCAGTGTGGAGCCTGCTTGGGATTTTCTCTCTGTTCTCTCTCTGCCCCTCCCCCACCTACTCTTTCTCTCTCTCAAAACTAAATAAATTAGCTTAAAATTAAAAAAAAAAAGTAAGTTCTAGTTTAATTATTTAAAAAAATTTTTTTGATGTTGATTTATTTATGAGAGAGAGAGAGACAGAGCACGAGCGGGGGAGGGGCAGAGAGAGAAGGAGACACAGAATCTGAAGCAGGCTCCAGGCTTCAAGCTATCAGCACAGAGCCCAACGCAGGGCTTGAACTCATGAACCCAGGAACTGTGACATCATGACCTGAACCCAGGTCAGATGCTTAACCGACTGAGCCACCCAGGCGCCCCAAGTTCTAGTTTAAAAACAAAAACAAAAAGACTACAAGGTTGTTCCCTTCTGTGAGCAGTACAGATTCTCCCCATCTCGAGCTTCCGTTAGGCTATTTTTACCTGCATTGAAGTGCGGCAGCTTGTCGTTAATGTACATCAGACAGTAAGCACTAACGTTTCTCAGGCCCCCATAAGAATCTCTTTCAAGTTCTTCCCAGGAAGATTCAGTAACAGAGATGTCATTGTACTTGAGCCAGACTTGTCGGGGTTGATTATAGACATAGGCCCAGTAGTGTCCAGCATTGGCTTGTCCTTCATGAACGAGAACTGCGTGCAAGCGATAAGGCACCTGCAGAGCAGAAGGCATATTCTTGAGTTAGGTTAAGCAACGTGAACGAGAAAGTGTAGGCTATTACACTTCAAGCTTACTGCCAACTATGAGACATAAGAAAATTGCCTCTTTATACATGTGTTTGATATGGGGTTAATATCAAAACATCTTGCTGATTCCATAGGAAGCAACAAAACACAGCCTTGGAATTTACCAAATTATGTTTCAACTCATGAAGCTTTAAAACCACATGGCCGAACGAGATGGCATCTTTGATGACTCTTTAAATTCCTAAAATCCCAGAGCTGAAGTCAAAGATAATGCAGACCTATTTATCCTCCCAATTCCAAACTCAGTTTACCTAAAAATAGAATCACTTTCACCACTCCTGCTGAGAAAAGGTATACTGCGTTAGGGACATGTGGCAAGTTTAGTACTGGTCTTGCTCTGTGCTGATTTTATTTTGTACCAAATTTCAAGTTAGCACACTTCATCATGAATCAGTCATATGGTCCTCATATTTCTTCTTCCAAGGGATCCATCCACCTCTCTGGGGTGAAGACCCTTTCAACGACATACTTATTTGTTTCAATGTTTGAAAAGCATTTGTTCTTTTTCAATATGGAGAACACAGAGAGCAATACTTAAGGTGCCAAGTAAATACTGAGGAAAAAGGAAAATCAGCCAGAGAGTCAAGTTAAGCCTGTATTCAATCAGTATTTTGGCATGTTTTTATGGCAGTGAAATTTGTGAAATAATACGGAAGAGCAAATGAAGAAAACCCAAGATTTACATGGCGCGTTCCTACTGTGCCTCCATGAGACCTGGAATCAGACAGAGCTCTCCTCCTCCTCCAACCCTGCACACACGAGCCTCTGGCTGGAGCATCTTTTCCTCTCTGTGCCCACAAGGTTATTCTAAACAAAAGTGCATGTGGACGATAAGAATTTCTGCCCTGGCCACATTCCGTTCTGGAGTTATGAGGGAAATGAAGCTTGAAAGCACACTGCTAAACAAAGCATCACCAAGGGCAGGATACTGTGGAAAGGGTGGGTAACCAGTCCCTGCCTGGGGTTTTCCTCACCACATGACTTAAACTACCACTTTATGAGAAATTTTTAACACTTGACAATAAACCTTTCTACTATATGAAAAAATACCATGGGCAAAATCAAAACAAGTATGTGTTAAATGTAATTGTTAGAAGATATATTCCCTGTTTGGGCCTAAAAATAAACAGCAAAATACCTATTTCTGTCCTAAGTCTATTCTTAGGTCTCAGGGAGGCTCCCGTTCAGTCTCAAAGAAAACTATCCAATTTTCTCTTTGATCTACCATTAGCACATGAGGACATGCCTTGACTACTTTCCCATCAATTTTCATTCTACCTGACGAAGGAGTGGGTCGCAATACATCTGCTCAATAGTCTGGGTAGTGCTTGCAATACAATTCTTTAAATCTGTTAAAAAAAAAAACACACACACACACACACACAAAAAAAAACTTAGTTAAAATGATTTCGTTCCATACAGCCAACCAAAAAGTACTGTGTCTCTATCCCTGGCGCTCTGGCGATTTCAAATTCTCTCTGTGAGCCACAAAAGACTGGATGCTTTCAAAGCAGCTAATGCTTTAGGTTATGAAGGCTTTTAGTTCATCACAATTTGCATTAAAGTTTTAAAAAGTTCTCTCTTATAATTGGCACCAACATTTCCCCCAAAAGAAGCAGTCTCTGTTTAGAAAAAGACCTTAATGGGTCACTTTGGGTGTAAAAATGTATGTTCCTCATACACGACTGGAGAGGAGAAGAAAGAGGTGAGATTTCTGTGATAAGAACTTAGGAGGGATCTGGATTTGATGATTTGATTTGACCAATGTGATTTGACTGATCTGATTTTTTTTTTTTAATGTTGATTTATTTTTGAGAGAGAGAGAGAGAGAGAGAGAGAGAGAATGCAAGCGGGGGAGGTGCAGAGAGAGAGGGAGGGGGACAGAGGATCTGAAGCAGGCTCCACGCTGACAGCAGAGAGCCTGATGCAGGGCTTGAACTACGAACAGTGACATTATGACCTGAGCTGAAGTCAGATGCTCAACCGACTGAACCACCCAGATGTCCCTAATGATGATGATGATGATATTCATTCATTCATTCATTCTGCCCTCTAGATAAAAGGAGAAAGGAAGGGGAGGAGGGAAAGTGAGCAACAAGATGACAATGCCAAAGGACCTTTAAAAACAGAATGCTGAAAGGGGCGCCCAGTGGCCCAGTCAGTTAAGTGTCCGACTCTTGATTTCGGTGAGTTCGACTCCCGCATCAGGCTCTATGATGATAGTGCAGAGCCTGCTTGGGATTCTTTGTCTCCCTCTCCCTGCCCCTCCCCTGCTCATGCTCTTTCTCTCTCTCTCTCAAAAAATAAATAAACATTAAAAAAATAAAACAAAAAACATAATGCTGAATAATTCCATTTTACATTGTGTCCACTGCTCATTCTCTGCCTAATTAGCCTTCAGTAAAACGTACTTCATACAAGACTTTTTTTTTAATGTTTATTTATTTTGAGAGAGAGAAAGACAGAGAGTGAGCAGGGACACAGAGAAAAATCGTAAGCAAGCTCATGCACTGTCATTGCAGAGCCAGACATGGGGCTCAAACCCACGAACCGTGAAATATGACTTGAGCTGGTCAGACTCTTAACTAACTGAGCCAGCTAGGTAGCCCTAGACAAGTCTTTAAAAGTGGAAATCTAAGAGAGCTAAATTCTAAGTTTGGGTCAACAAAAGCCAGAGTTCACATGAACTACAGGAACAGAAATCAGCAGATGCGGAAAAATCCTAGCCAAAGGTGATCATGTGCATCTAAGCGTCCCAAGAGTTCCTAGAAATTTTGAGGAGTTTCTAGGAGGAGTCTTTCCACAGCTGTATAATGGGAGGAACCAAAAGTGCAAAAGAAGTCCCAATCCCCACGTCAGAATCATGCCTCTCTCCATCATTTATGCCTAATTTCCGGCAGAAAGGGAAAGAGTAACAGTCTGACAAGTTTTAAAAGAGCCAACCTTGAATATCTTGTTCAATCTCACTCCTCCACCTCTGAAGACAGGTCTTAACAAAGTTTATCTCATCCTCTGTGACAGTTCGAGGAGCCGGCTGTGCGGGCATTTCCATGGAAGACCGCGACGATGTAAATGGCTTATTCATTGCCTTAGACTTGGGTAGAGAATCTTCAGGAGAAGAAAAGGTACCTTCGACATCCTGAGAAGGGCTTTCTTTACTTGTACTGAAAGAGGATAAAAATCACATTCACATGATAATTTCCAAAATATGGCTTGGTCTCGGTTAATGTGCTTCATAAAACTACCTGCTATGTGCAAAAGTACAGCTATAATTTGGTGAATATTTGCTCAGTAAAGGCACTGAGCCAAACCGAGTCTTTATATGCATCGTCTCATTTAACACAACTTGCTGATGAGACAGATACTATTATTATCACCAATTACAACAACTATAACTATCTAAGGTTTAGAAAATTAAGCAATTTACCCAAGCTCCCCCATCTAGTAAATTATGGGATTTAAATCCAGATCTATCTGAGTCTATGGTTCATGCTAACTACTTCTTGTAAGAAGGGACAAGGGTAACTATCAGATGATTTCACTCACATGTGCAATTTAAGAAAAAACAGATGAACATAGTAGAAAGGAAGGAAAAATAAGATAAAAAGAGAGAGGGAGGCAAACCGTAAGAGACTGTATTTAATACAGAGAACTGAAGGTTGCTGGTAGGGTGTTGGGTGGGAAGGTGGGCTAACTGGGTGATGGGCATTAAGGAGGGCACTTGTTGGGATGGGCACTGGGTGTTATATGGAAGTGATGAATCACTAAACTCTACTCCTGAAATCATTATTACACTACATGTTAACTACCTTGGATTTAAATAAAATTAAAAATTTTTTTAAAAAACTGGAAACAGAAAAAAAAAAATATATATATATATATAAAGAAGGGACAAGGAAGAAGGGTTCAAAGAAGACTGGACTGGGAGAATCAAGGAATCAACTACAGAGTTTCCACGATGCAGATGACTGAGTAAAATATATAGAAACAATAATTATGAAGTATGGACTTTTTTTATTCAATGGCTTCTAGAGATTTGATTAGCCAGGACACATACATCAATCCTGATCTGAGCTGGAAGAGAATCAGAGGGCTCGTGTCATTGGGCCTCCCTGTTCCTGCACTAGGTAAGCCCCTCTGGGCTGTCCTCTTCACTTTCTAGCTGCTTTTTGTTTGTTTGTTTTTCACATGTTTTAATTGTCTACTCAAGAATAAAGCTTTCCCTGAGGTTAACTTGGTTGAGTATCCTTAGCAGATGTGAGAATGAGATGTTCTGGAAGATCAGGGCTGGAGTGGCAGTGAGCTTACAGCTAATTAAAAACAAGGTAGACCTAGTGGGGCAGGAACACCACTGCAGATGGATCAGAACCCTCTGAAACAACCCCACCATCCTGTGGGCAAGACAAGTGAGTGCAGCGCCCTGCTGGCAATCAGGAATACTCCCACCTAAGTAGGAGCAAACTTATCCCTTCAACGACAAAGAACTCACAGCCCTTGAGCTCTAATGGAGTGGGTGCTCACCAGGAGGGAAGATGGTGCACAGTTCAAATTAAACAAGCAAACAAACAAACAAAAAGTCATTTACTATTTCTTTTTCAGTATTTTTTAAAAGATTTTATTTTTAACTAATCTCCACACCAACGTGGGGCTCGAACTCACAACCTTGAGATCAAGAGTCGCATGCTCCACTGACTAAGCCAACCAGGTGTCCCCCCGCCCTCCCGCCATGTGTACTATGTTAAACATTTGTTTTCATTACCTCTCCTTGGATGCCAGGTCAGAAACTGGGCAGTGCACTGAAGAAAGCGGTAACGTCACGTGGTCACTTTGAGACGTGGAGCTTTCTGAGGCAGGTTTTGTACTGGCAAATTCGATAACGTATTTCAGCATGTCCGGGAGTGGAAACCGAGCTGGGCCTGAGCCGTACTTCACGTACCTAAGATGCAAAGACAACGGTGCTCTGACTGGCCAGGTTTGTCTAGTGCTCTGTGGCTTGCTGACAAAAGGTCTGTCACTGTGCAGAGTCCGTGGAAAGAAAGGCTCATTCCTAAATGCTATATGGTATTCAATGCGTCACTCAAACAATCCAGAAGGCGAAAATTCTCTAACTACAAAAGTAGAAACTGGTAACAATCTATGTGATTACACCTGGCAGGAAACATTTCAAATGAGCTCCCAATTCAGGTCTTATCTGTTGTGCGTTCTCTTGATTCCAAACCACATCTAGGATCAGGTCATAAAAGTAAATTCTATGTCTTCAAGAAAAATAGATTTATTACCAGGACTCAGATCCACAGATCCACAAATAACACTGGTGAACTGGTACCCAAGGGTTATTCTTTGCTGCCCGTTAGACCCCCTACTGAGAAATTAAGGAAAATGATAGAGAGCCAGCTGGAAATGAAAAGAAGGTGTTGATAAAGGTCAGAGTTTAAGAAAACTGACAAATCTTTCCTCTGCAGGGTCCCCAGCACCCTATTATTCATGCACTCATTCAACAGCATAGGCCAGCCATAAATTGTTGAAAGCTTCTCTGTGATCAGTAATTAATAAATATCTTCATTATATAACAAAATAATTAACAAATTATTGTAATAATACCTAATATTCTGCCATTACCAGCACATATTAGACCCAATAAAAAGATACACTGTTAAAGTCATAAACTCTATAATTCACTATAGTGGACAGAATTTAAATGGGACTGGTTGACTGGTTGGTAAAGGCAAACCCTATAATTATGGGCTTCCATTTACAAAGGGATAGAGAGGCACTTCGTATTTTTCTTCTCCAAATAAAGTGGAAGAAAGAAGCAGGTACAGAACTAGGAAGAAAGAAAATTGTGTCCATATCAAAAAGGGCATTTTGAGGGGCGCCTGGGTAGCTCAGTCAGTTTAGCGACCGACTTTGGCTCAGGTCATGATCTCACAGCTCACGAGTTCGAGCCCTGTGTCGGGCTCTGTGCTGACAGCTCACAGCCTGGAGCCTGCTTCAGATTCTGTGTCTCCCTCTCTCTCTGCCCCTAACCCACTCACATTCTGTCTCTGTCAAAAATAAATAAACTTTTTTTTTTTTTTTAAAGGGCATTTTGAAATGAAATTGCTAGTGGGAAACAAAGTGTAATGCAATTCAAAGCCAAACATATGTTAAAGGGTAGGTAGCAAAGACACTTCATCCTCACTAATTTAAAGAAGGAGAATTAGCATCTGGCTGCCACAGAGACTTGAGGCTTTCACTGAAAAGGATGTCAAATACTTAAACTCAGAGGAACCTTAGAGAACTGTACTATTCTTTAAATTTATTTTCTTGCATTTATTTTGGCTTATCTAAACTCGACTTACCTTTCAAGATCTACTTTCTCTATGAAGTCTTCCTTCCAGCCCCCATCTACCCCCTTCTGAACTTCTACAGGCCAGGACCTAAACTTCTTATCTGTACCACAGACATGGTTAACGTGTGTTCAGAAACACACAGTATTTGTCGAAAGAATTAATTTATGCGTGACTGACCTGGACCAAAGGAAACATTTTCTTACTGGAAATGCAGCCAAGATATGATATGGCATGGGACTTTAAGTCATCATTTTACACATCATTTAAGTCATCATAAACCTCTTCCCAGGTATGCTGTACTTTAGTAGGGTACTTATACAAAACTTCGGTGAGAATTTTTCTCTAAGAAACTTATCTTCAATTTTCTGACGTCATCATTTTCCTGTTTGACTGAATTCCTTTAGACCAACTACTTCATGTAATGCAGCGTCTCTACTAAGCTAGTAAAAGTGGAGCGAAAGTAGTTTCAGAAAAGATGTCTAGGCTTTATGCTGAGGTATCTTAGAGAAGAAAGGGTGGACCTTTTTTTGTTTTGTTTAATGATATAAGTACTGCACGCACCTGGCAAGAAAACTCAAGGACAAAAGAGTATAAAACAAATTATGAAATTTACCCAGCCCGTCTCGGTTCTACTGCCTACTAGTATCCATTAAAAGTGTCTTGTATTGGGGCACCTGGGTGGCTCAGTCGGTTGAGCGTCTGACTTCGGCTCAGGTCGTGATCTCGCAGTCCGTGAGTTCGAGCCCCGCGTCGGGCTCTGTGCTGACAGCTCAGAGCCTGGAGCCTGTTTCAGATTCTGTGTCTCCCTCTCTCTGACCCTCCCCCATTCATGCTCTGTCTCTCTCTGTCTCAAAAATAAATAAACGTTAAAAAAAAAAAAAAATGTCTTGTATTTTTTCCCAGGAGCATGTCACACTTAGGTAAGCAATAAAAAAAAAAATTTACCCAAATAAAATTATCTGAGATATTAAAAGTCAGTTATTTATTTTTTTTTAAGATTTTTTTTTTAAAGTAATCTCTATGCCCAGTGTGGGGCTCAAACCTATAACTGCAAGATCAAGAGTCACATGCTCCACCGACTGAGCCAGCCATGTACCCTTTAACAGCCTTTTTATTTTAAGTAGTATCATACTACAGAAAATGCTCCTATACTCTGTTTTAAAATCTAAGTAAGTCAGAATGCCCTGTTGGTTACTGGCAAATTGAGTTCTTCTGAGTTATAATACATCAGGTATATTTGGTCTTATAAAAACAAATTTTTCCAGCCTTACAAAGCATCAGTGAAACCTTAGAAGTAACATATAGTCACATGTAGAGTCCTTTAAATCACTTCCAGGACAGTATCTGAGGAATTAATCCTCAGTTTAAGTCTATATTAAGACAAGTAGAAAACTAATCACTCTCATCGTGGACAAGCTCTTCCCAAGTGAGAGAGAGGAAGCTAAAGATGGGGACCTATAGATGCAGGGTCTTGGGCTGGTATGGAGAGCTGGTATGGAAAGTGCTGGAAATGACATTCCATGGGATTTACTTCTTAAACGCTGAATCATTGGGATCTGTCTTTACTAGAAAGGAATTACACTGACTCCTCCTTAAGAAATCATGGGGTGATGCCAAAGAAATAGTCAGTGCAAAACAAATAAACAAAAAGGGAAAGATTCCTCCATAAGAGAAAGGACTTTGTATGTGTCAGAACTATTAGCGCTTTGAACCATTTAGCAATGCTCCAAGGAGAACAGCATTTTGTTTTTGTTTTTATCTTTCCCAGATACTTCCACCTTCCCAAGACAGAGGGACTGGAGTACTGTGACAGTTACCTCTCTCATGTTTGTGAAAAAGATGACAAGGGAAGTAGATGGAGTAAAGGGCTTTAGTGCACTGCTAATAACTGACTGCCTGACTGAGTCCTGTAAGACCTTGGGACTACTATTTGCCCATAGATACTACCAGTTCATCTTAAACACTGCTTCACACTTAGAATTTTTCTTAGCTATTTTATAAAACACACAAGTTAATACTTCAATTCTGAATTAATTTTTAAACATAAGCAAATTATCTGATTTTAATCTTCTATCTTTTATATTTCTAAGCACGAAGGTATCACGACTCACCTTTCCAGTTTTTGCTGCAGAACTTTTATTTCCTCCTTCAACTTTCGAATACACTCTCTCTTACTTCGAATAAGCTCTTTGCTCTTGTACATGTACCTAAGCAAATGATAACACCACAAATAACACCATTTACATTTAAAAGCATTGATAGCACACAGTGTCAGCAAACTAGGGATACAAAGGAACTTCCTCAAACAGACAAAGGACATCTATGAAAACACGTAACTAACATGATACTTAATAGAATAGAAACAATTCAAGGATATCCACTCCTGTCTCTTCCACTAAATGTTTTTATTGGCAGCATGGCCAATGCAATAAGGAAGGAAGGGAAGGAAAGAAGGTATGAAAGGAAAGAGAGAAAGAGAGAAAGAGGGGGAGGGAGGGGAGAAAGGAAGAAAAGAAAAGAAAAGAAAAGAAAAGAAAAGAAAAAGAAAAAGAAAAGAAAAGAAGAAAAGAAAGAAAGAAAAAGAAAGAGGAAGAGAAATCATGGGTGGGCGCTTCAGTGGCGAGGCTCGGCGTCCGACTTCAGCCAGGTCACGATCTCGCGGTCCGTGAGTTTGAGCCCAGCGTCAGGCTCAGGCTGATGGCTTGAGCCTGGCCTGCTCCTCATCTCAGGGTTCTGTCCCTCTCTCTGCCCTCCCCGCCACCATGCTCTGTTCTCTGTCCCAAAATAAACGTTGAAAGAAAAATTAAAAAAAAAAAAAAAGAAATCAAGAAAAGGCATACAAAGGAAAGCAAAGGAAAAAGTAAAACTGCCTTTTGTTGCAGATGACAAATTGTCTACATAAAAAATATCAAAGAATTTACAAAAATGCATCAGAACTAGTGAGTGAATTTAGTAAAGTCAAAAGACATAAAGTCAATTCAAAAACAGGGAAAAAATTTACTGCATCTCTGTATGCTTATAAAGAAAAAATGGAAAGTAGAGCTTTTTTAGAAACCACTATAACATCAGAAGCATTAACTGTTTAGGTATAAACTTAATCAGGTATATGTAAGACCTGAACACTAAAATTACAAAACTCTGTCGACAGAAATTAATGATTCAAATAAAAGGAGCTATACCATGTTCATGGACTGAAGGATTCAAAATAGTTAAGATGTCAATTTCCCCAAATTGATCTACAGATTCACCATAATGCCAATCAAAATCCCAACAGTTATTGGTAATAACTGACAGGCTCATTCTAATATTTATCTAGAAAGAGGTAAAACCAACCAAAATAAGACCAAACTAGTCAAAACAATTTTGGAAAAAAAAATAAATAAAGTTGGCGGATTTACATTATCTGATGACAAATTTACAAAAAGCCACAGTAATCAAGACAATGTGGTACTAGCTTAAGATGAGACAATAGACAAAATAGAGACTCCAGAAACAGAACCACAAATATATGCTTAATTAATTTTTGACAAAAGTACCAAGGTAATTTAATGGGGGAAAGGAGAGAGTCTTTTCAACAAATGATGCTGGAATAACTGGACATCCACATGCCTCCCTTCCCTCTCCTGCAAAAAACAAAACAAACCCCCCCACACAAAACAACAACAAAAGAACCCATATCTCATACTATATATAAAAATAAACTCTAAATGGGTAATAGACATGCATGAACATAAGAGCTAAAATTATACAATTTCTAGGAAAAAAAATGGAAGAAAATCTTTGTGATCTTGGGTTAACAAAGATCTTTTAGTTAAAACACAAAAACACAAACTGTAAAAGAGAAACTGATATATTAGACTTCATCAAAACTAAAAACTCCTGGTCTTCTAAAGACATTGGTAAGAAAATGAAAGAGACAGCACAGACAAGAAATATGTGGATCTGTATCCAGAATATATAAAGAACTCACTCTTACCACTCAGTATGAACACAACGAAGATAATTCAAAAGTGAACAAAAGATTTGAAAAGACACTTCACCAAAGAAAATATACAAGTGACCATTAATTAAGCACATGAAAAGAAATTCAACATGGTTAGCTATCAGGGAAACATATATCAAAAGAAAAATAAGATATTCCTACAAACCCACTAGAATAGCTAATATTTAAAAGATGGACAATTCTAATTATGGGTGAGGATTTGGAGAAAATGGAACTCTCATATACTGCCTGTAGGAATGCAAAATTATACAGACACTTGAGCAAACAGTTTGGGCATTTCTTATACATTTCAACATATACTTTTCTTTTTTTTTTTTTAATTTTTTTTTTCAACGTTTATTTATTTTGGGGACAGAGAGAGACAGAGCATGAATGGGGGAGGGGCAGAGAGAGAGGGAGACACAGAATCGTAAACAGGCTCCAGGCTCCGAGCCATCAGCCCAGAGCCCGACGCGGGGCTCGAACTCACGGACCGCGAGATCGTGACCTGGCTGAAGTCGGACGCTTAACCGACTGCGCCACCCAGGCGCCCCTCAACATATACTTTTCATACAACCCAGCAATCTCACTCCTAGGTGTTTTACCCAGAAGCACTAAAAACCACACCGAGACTTTTAGGCAAATATTCATAGTAGCTTTATTCATAATGGCTTAAAACTGGATATATCTGAAACGTCTGTCAACTGTTAAATGGAAAAAATATTGGATTACTGCTACATTGGAGTACTACTCAATATGGATGTGTCCCCAAAACATAATCCTGAGTGTAAAAAGATAGCCACAACAGGGAACATACTGAATACTGATGTCACAATGGGACATTCTAGAAATGGCAACACTATAGGGCAAGAAAACAAGTTAAGTGGTTGCTAAGGCCTGGGGATGGGGAAAACAGATTAACTGCAGCAAAGGGGCACGAGGAAACCTTTTGGGGGACGGAAATATGACAGACTGTGCTGGTGGTTACTTGACAATATTATTTTACTAAAACTCATTGGCTGCACACCTAAGAATGTACGATTGTTTTGCATGTAAACCATACACTGATAAACCAGACCTTAAAAAGACTAAAATCCTATAATGTAAGTCTGTCTAGGATTTTTCTTTTCCAGGAATACAAATGGTATTCAGATTAGAAAGAAATACACTGTGGCTACTTCACACACTGTTCTTCACCCGAGAATTAGCAGGCTTTCACCTGAAGCCTAGCTACTCAAACTGTGGTCCCCAGATCAAAATCATCATTAGCATCACCCCGAGAGCTTCTCAGAAATGCAAATTCTTGGGCCCTACCCTAGATCCAATGAATTCCATTAATCCGTATTTTCATATTATCAAAACCTCCAGGGGACTCCTATGCACAATACACTTAGTAAACTCTCCCTTCTCCTTCTGCAATACATCAAGAAGACAACCCATCACAGAACTCACCTGTCCATATAAATGATCTGAGGAAATTCCAGCTTATTGTGAATTTTCTCTGGCTGACCGAGCGACTGATTGAACTCAAATCTTGAGAGCTCAAAGGTCAACACTGGAGGCAGCTTTGTAAACCAACGCTATGTCAGAAGCAAAAATAAAGAAGTTAATTTGAGGAAATAGCAAAAGCCAGATTTAAACTTTCTTCTTCTGGTATAGAATTTATATTCAAATCAAATTCACCCTGGAGTTTTGGGTTTTTTTTAATCCCCAATACTAAAATGACCACTTAGAATCATGCCCTCTTAGAGAATATGGCTAAACATTCCTCAAGTTTCCATATTTACAAGCCAGTCAACATTTTACTCAACTATCGTCCTCAGAAGTAACCACCCTTAAATGCATGAACTGCACCAAGAATCTACACAACTGATTCACTAAGTCATCAGTATTCAAAAGAGGATCAAAACCTGAAGAAAATGGCTAGCCTAACCAAAGAATTAGAAATTACAACCTAAGCAGCATATAACTAAGGAGACAATTATCTCCATGAAATCAGCTCAAAACACTAATATGTGTGTTCACAAGCTATTCAACATAATTTGAATCCCCTTTATTTCTAAAAAAGAAACTTGAAATGGCCTCATGATTATGAGGGCTCAAGTTTCTGGAAAAAACCTCTGAATTCTAAGAATTCACAGATGTCTTATAAGGGGCCCGGTCAAACTACCTAGATGTTACCTTGAGTTTCAAGGAAAGAAAGCACAGACTTATAAAAAAGATCTCAACTGTTCCTGATCCCAAATGAGGAAACGCTAACCCAGGAAAGGCATTCCTGCTCAATTCACCTGTCTGCCAGAGGTCTGCAAGAACAGCTTTACAAGGCTCCCTTTACCAAAGGTGCACATGGCTAAGCTCCCTCCACGTACCCTTGTTGGCATGAGGTGAATCCAGACAGCCTGACTACCTCAGGGTCAATCTAAGTAAGGATAAGAGTTTTCTATTTTCTTTTATACCGAGTTCCCATTCTGGAATAAAGGTCTCCAGAGATCTAAGGAGCTTCCCTTCTGTAAGAGCACGCATCAGCCGAGCATGCGTGGGACAAACGCTGTGCCTCCCGACCCTGAGTTAGAACTTTCCTTGGAAAGCCGGGAGCCGGCAGCTCTGGCCTAGGTCCCACACTGCCCTATGGCTGCCTAGCACACTTTGACAAGGCTCATGTCAGGCTCCCGATGTGGATTCAAAAATAGTCAGCAACTGCGTTGGACTCACACAAGCCCACAGCTTCGTTTCAACACACGTGATGAAAGGAGAATGATCCAAGCTGTGTGGTACTGACAGTGATGCTCCAAATTCACTAATTCTTAACCCAACTGGAATCCTGAGGTATTGCTTACCAGTGCTCTCCCTCTAACTCCCCCCCTTCTTTCCAACCCACAAAAATAAACGAATATTAAACTTGAAAAATGTTAAAAGCAAAGGCAGAATTTACTATGAAGAACAGTAAATATTATAAGAGGGAAAATATTCTAAATGGCATACCATAGGAGTTAATCACTGTACTTTTACCCTCCGAAAATATGGAGGCAGTGGGTTCTCCCTACTCAGGTACAGGTAGGCTTCAACAGAAAAAGAGAAACTTGATCATACTTAAAACATCAGAAGCAGCATACAACCTTTATATGATTAACTCAAATTCACACTTTTGGTAAAGAATTCATTTATCAAACACTAAGACTCACTAATGCATAGCAACTCGTAAGAAACTTCAGACTGGTTCACCATGTGTTAAATGTAAAGTTAGCTACTATCTGATGGGAAGACAGTTTGACAAAAAGCTCAGTCCTACTTAACTGGCCCTGTCACTGGCACAGCAAATAAAAATGTCCAACTTACCTCTTGTCCATACTTCACCGAATGATCGGAAGGAAGCAGGTCAATGTCCCCCTCCACCATGGCCCCTTCCAAACATTCGTCTAAGTTGCGATAACCATTTACCTGAAGGGGATACTGGCCGAAGGTCTCATTGTTACAAAAGGGCTTTCCTAGGCAAAGAAACAGATTGCTCTTTTAAAGACATCACTGGTATTATCTGAAGCCTGCTGTTCTGGCACCACAGAGACAGGTTATCTTCTTATTTCAGCAACTTGCTGAGAACTGGTTAGAAGCGCACGTAAGCCTGTGCAGCCACCGCCGATGACCAGCAGATCCCGGTACTGGCCACAAACGACTGCCATGAACTTTCTTTCACAAAAAGAAAGACCACCAGACATTACGTGCCTCCTGATCAAGGACTATCCCATCCCTTGTGAATTCGTCTTGCCAAAAAAAAAGCCTCACCTGAATCTGGTCAAACTCTAGATCCAACTACCCGTTTGTAAAAAGAGGAGTAGAGAGGAGTGTGTTAAACTGTATCATGGGTATGCAAGGGGAGGAATTTCAGACTGTGGGGAATCCCAAAAACAACCTGGTTTCTTAAATTTTTTAAGTTTATTTATCTTGAGAGAGAGCGAGCGAGCGAGAGGGCACACAAGGAGGGGAGGGGAAGAGAGAAGGAGAGACAGAATCTCAAGCAGGCTCCACGATGTCAGCGCAGAGCCCTATGTGGGGCTCAAACCCACGAACCGTGAGATCATGACCTGAGACAAAATCAAGAGTCAGAGGCTTAACCGACTGTGCCACCCAGGTACCCCAAAACAACCTGGTTGCTTAAAATATACATTTCAAGGAGAAAAAAAAGACGGGGGAGAGTGTACGGATTTGTTACGAGACTTAAAAGATGTATCAACCAAATATAAATGATCCACATTTCGATCCTGATTAAAACTGTAAAAATAAACACTCATCCCCTCCCCCCAAATATATAGAATTATAAAACAACTTGGAAATCTGAACACTGACTAAATATTTGATATTAAGAAATGCTACTTTTTTGGAGTGAATAGTGGTATTGGATTGTTTTGAAGAGAGTATCAGAGGGGTAAGAGAAAAAAACGACTTAGGGAATGTCTGGCCATGGGCTAATGGTTGCCGAGTTCCTGTGGGTTTTTAGACTGCTCTATCTGCGTGTGCTAAAAATTCTCCACAGTTAAAAAAGAATTAAAATTACACACCCAACATGCAGCTTAGATAAGCCTCCATAGCAGAGAAACATTTTTTGGCAGTCTAACTCAATAAAGCCTTTTGAGATTAAACATTACATTGAAAAAAACAACACAGAGAAAATTGAGTTGCATCACTGTGACGGACATTAACACTGGACGTAGGCTGTGCAAACATTATACAATTTAATCTAACAATTCTGAGACAGACACTATATATGCCCATTTTACAGATGAAGAGACTGAGGGTCCAGGCACTCACACCGTTTGTCTAGATTACACACACACTAAGAAGGTAGAACCAATATTCAGACCTGGGACTGCCTGACTCGAAAGCCTTTTCGAGTAATACAGATACGGTCACAGGTCTAGAATCAACATTGAGAGGAAAGAATTTACCTTCACGAACCCCTTCAGTGAGGAAAGTCCCGTAGAATAGCTGCACCATTGGGTTTTCAGATTTGTTCCTGGGATTGCTGCTTTTAAAAAAAGGAAACAGTTCTCTATCATTTGGATCAGATAAGCACTGCACTAAACCTAATCATCATTCAAAAGCGAAAACAGTACATTTTCATCGACCTCCAAAGAGCCAGATATGGTCTAAAATAAGTAACGCGTTAAATCAGTTTAAACACTCATGGAACAAATATATGGGCCTGATCCCTGGCTGTGAGGAGCTGAAAGTCTAACAGGAGCGTCCCACATGCAGAAAAATACATGTGTCTTTATACAGTTATTATATATAAGAAGTGACAGATGTATACGAGTTACAGAACAGGACAGAAGTAAGAATCAACCCTCTTGAGCAGTTTTGCAAATAAACACAAAGTTTTCCCAGGGGCACAACAGAAATGAAGGGAAACAGTTTATTTCTACAAGCCCATCTTAAATGGTTACTATGTAAGCTTCCACGTACAAAGCTGTCCTATGATGTACAGGTCTTTTACTCAGCATTAAAACAGTTTAGAAAATGTCTCAGCATCTGTATTCGAAAAGGGATCCTTGTAGTCTTTGCCCGGAATTTCACTTCTGAAATTCGTTTCAGTGACTGAAATGATTAAATTCAATGTATCCATGTGCTACCACCACGCTCACATCTAGGATTGATCTGACTTTTAAATACATTTTGTAGCATGGGCTGTGACTTCAACAAAGTTAAGAGTTCGGGCCCTTCGGTAAAAAGCTGCGGGTCAAGATGCTTATCTACATCCTCAGAGGCGAAAAGCAAAGGCAAGGAGGATACAAAATGACAAGTATCTGAATGGTGACCCTGTGAAGTTTGGCAAAGCCCAGTAATTTCCGCTTGAGAAGCAAAACCCTGTCCATTCCCCGCTTCCCCATATTGCAGTTCTCCCTGGACCACTGTGAGCAGGAAGGCCGTACAAACGAATCCTCAACACTCACTTAACGTTAACAGCTAGCTGGAATGCGTCCTCCAGCCAATCCAGGAGCTTGTGTGTGAATTCACTCACATCTTGCTATAAGAGAGGCACAAATTGCAGCAGAGTTAGACCCAACACTACAGGAAATGAAAATCTGCCCTTATCCCACCAACGAGTAAGACACCACTGCTGTGAAAGGACTTCTTTACCAAGCAAGGACAGATATCATGAAGCTAGAAGGCAGCTCCTGCAGACAGACAGAAGGCAGCTTCTGCAGACAGACAGAAGGCAGCTTCTGACTAGCTTATGGCCAGAGAGGAAACTGGAAGTTCACCACTTCTGGCCACGTCTATTTGTAACCAACCAGCAAACAAATTCTTCCAGGTAGGCTTTAAAAAAAAAAAAAAAGTCCACAGAATGGACTACAGTGCTCTAGAATAATATGAGATCTGAACAGAGAAAGGAAAGTTTTATGAAATGTTTTGAGAACTTTGTAGGACTGTAAGACCTTTAGATAAACAGAGGGAAAAATCAATTTTATACAGAAGGCGCTGCTCTAATAGTGACAGCTCTGTTTTTTAACACAAGGCCGGGAAAGGGAAGTCCTACTGCCTCGAAGAGAAAGATGGCTCAGAAAAGCTGCTGAACTTAGGTTTAGATGATATTAAAAACAGGATTTCTATTGGGGCCATCCCAAGGCAAATGTGCAGACAAAGGGCTTTACTTTTGTCAGTGACCCTTTGCTATGATTCGCTGAGATATTTTCCAATCTCCTCCTTTCTCCTCCAACAGCCCCTGTGTACTTGGACCCGGGACACGTCTGGTCCTTAGTCATGTTCAGGGCTGACTACATGGCTGAACTGGGGCAACATCAGAGTAGTATCCACAAGGCAGGACTTCAAACATCACAGGGTTTGAGGGAAAACACGAGAATCACAGGCTTCTCGCACCTGCTGTTCCTCAGGTGATCGGAATGCTCCCTTTAAGAGATCCAGGGCTGCGGAAGGGTCTACAAATTTGCGATTTGATCCCATCATCAGAGCAAACAAGTACTGAAGCTCTTGCATAAACACGATATTTCTCTTTTCCTGTAGAGGAGACAGCAACGTGTGCTCTTACAACCCTTCACTTGGAAAATTATAACATACGAAAGAGAAGCGTTGTCACTGATCCCTCCCTAATTCATATTTACCTAGATCTAGAGCAGTGGGGACTCAAACTATGTGACCCAAACTCTATAAGGTCCGTGTGGGGATTGCCTTAAACTGAAGACTATCTATGTGGAAGCCTGAAAGGGAATACTGTCAGAAAGGCAAAAATGTTTACTTTCCTAAGCTGCTGCCCTCCCTCCTGTTAGGAAAATGCATCCCCGAGGTGAAATCCTGGGAAGGGTTAGATCACCGGCAGAAGGCCACGTTGTTTGGCGAGAACCCACCACAGGCTCTTCTAGAAGGATCCAGGCCTCTGGCACCAGGTCACCCATTCTGCATCACTCGGCCTCAGCTGCTAATGAGCAGTGAGGGACCCCTCACACAGAACGAGTGTTTCTGAACCTTCCGCTCAGAAGCAGAAAAGTCAAGGCTGCCAGGACGACCGACCGCTTTCTTGGATACGCTTGTCTAATTTTATTTTTACTGAACTTTACGTTTTTGCAGACCCTTGTTTCGTGTCACAAAGAAGGAAAAAGGCCATTTGGAAATGAAAACAAATACTAGCACGAGCCAAAAAACATCACAGCTGTCAGCTTTAGCCAAAATTTCAAAGCCTTTGGGACGCAAGGGACTAAGCAAGAGTGAGGATTTCTCCACACCAACTCACCGTGTGACTTGGACAGTTTTCAAGCACATTCTGTGGCAGGCTATAGCTGAGAACAAGTCTTCGAAATTCAGGCAGTTGGAAGAGAGACTGAAATAAAGAAAGAGATTCCTAGCCTTTCTTTCAAAATAACTGCAGCAAAAAAGACACTTCTTTTACCTCAGAAGCGCGTATGACTGTCACCTGCTATTTCTACTTCTATGCTTAAAGAAATGATGATGGCTCCGTGTAAGAATTTAGCTGACCAAATGAATCCTTTTAGGGGAAAACCAGAAACAACATGATGGCTAACGACAGAGATAGATTAAATAAGCTATGGTACATGTGCACAATAGGCTATTATGTAGTCATTAATATTGTAGAGAAAATGTTTCTGGACTGTGGACTAAGACACAGCAGTGGAACTGAATGCCTAAGAGCTACAAGGTTAACACGGAGAAATCTCAGAGCTGTGTTCTGTGGAGGTCGAAGTTCCAGAAAAACAGAGTATGAAATGGTTGATAATAAGGTTAAATATATATAAGACAATATGGCACATTGTTTAGGGACCAGGCAGTCCAGGGACTTGTAACGTTTATTTCTAAAGCTGGGGGCCAAGTATAGCAGTGGGTGCTATTCTCCACTTTGTCATAGGAACCATTCTTTTTTTTTTTTTTTTTTTTTTTTTTTTTTTTTTTTTTTTTTTTTTAACAGCAGATATCTCTGGTTTATTGTCTGTAAGTCATACATGTTTCGACTATGAATATCTCTTGAGGGTTCAAGTTTTTACAAACCCCTGTATGAAGAGAACTCCTCATCCCCATGGAGTCCGCAGATGAAGACCCCTCAGGCCTGCTCACTGGAAGCCTGGAAGCAGCATCCAGGCAGACCACAGGCCTGCGGCTTCCCTCCCACTATGACGACCCGACTGGGGTTCAACCGCCAGGGGGAGCGTCCCGCCGGGCAGTGCTGGTGAAGCCTGGTCATGCTACGGCACCAACGGTCTGTCTACCTGGAGCCAGGGCGAGACCTCTCTGCTCCACACTCAACCTGCCCCCCTCTCTCCCCACCTCACCTGCCCCTTCCCGTGGTCATTCCCACTCTGCTCACTGCACCAGACCATTTCCCAGGGCTTCTGTTCCACCACGAGGAAAACGGCCTTACATTCACAAGTCATTCCGCTCCGCCTCCTCTCCTTCACCGGAATCTGGCTTTCCTCAAAGACACTGGCAGCATCTTAAAAGCCATCTAAGTGTGAGCTAACATTACGCTTCCCAATCCAGCGTCAGTACGACCCTCCAACATCTGCTGCTTCTCCTCTATTCTCTGTGTCACTTAACTACACACTCCTCCTCTACTCATCAAAGTGTAGAACTTCAGAGGGATCTTCGAATCCTTTCTTTGTTATCCATCCACATCCACTGAGGAAGAAGTCACTTGGACTCTGCCTCCGGGGGGTGCTCTTCGTAACTACCTCCTCCCCACCATCCCTACCAAGTGCTCATCAGACTCCCCTCACCTCTCACCTGGGTCACTGCTCATGGTCTCCCTGCCTCCAGGGACCCCCTCCCTGCCCGGATCAATTCACTTGCCACATAGGTTCCTCTGTCTTCCTGAGACGACAGAAATAAAGCTGCTGATTCACGGACACCTGCCACAGGGCAACAGCTCTTCCTCTCCCAAGTCCTGGCCACACCCAACAGAACAGGACATCCTGTTAGCTCGGCCCTCAGAATAAATCAAGAATCCAACCTCCCCCAAGGCTACCAGCCTTGGGTCCAGGCCACCATCACCTCTCACGTGGGCAACTGTAGCGGCCTCCTGCGTAGCTTTGTCCACCTGTCCCTCACCACCTGCATTCTGTTCTCCCCACAGTAGCCACAGTGAGGAGTCAGAGTTCATCACTGCTCTGCTCAGAACCCTCAGTGACTCCCTCCTCTGCTCCTGGAATCCCAGCCCCTCGGGCCTCCTGAGCGCCATGAGCACACCAAGCCCACTCCCACGTTGGGGCCCTTGCTCTGTGCTTTCCTCCACCTGGAGTGTTCTCCCCCGAAGCTGCCTGGCTCACTCCATCACCTCTCAGGTATCTGGCATCTGTTCCAACCTCCTCCCTTGGGCGAGGCCTAAGCAGCACAGTTTATATTGTGCCCTGATTCTCCCATCCCCTCTGCAGCAATTCGGCCATGCCTAACCTTGCTCTTGTTTCTATCACGGTGATCACCACCTAATGTGTTCTGTAAGTTTAGTTAACTAGTTACTTTTCCACTTTACTGCTCTTTGTGTGTCTTGCCTCACGAGAATTTAACTTCCACAAGCCCAAGGCTCTGTGTCAGTTTTACTCATTCTTTTATCTCAAGGGCCTAGAACAGGGCTACACACACAGTGGGTTTCCAACTAACATCTGCTGAGGGAACACAAGCACACCCATTCAGCCCGGGACCCCTTGGCTTTGTGAGCATCTTATGCCTAGGGACACATTCCTCCATTCCATCTCTACGACCACGTCTGAGGTCACACGCAGGATGTATCAATTCCGGAGAAGTGGCCAATTCTCAGATCACAAATTCGGAAAAGCCCACTCTTGAACCGCAACCTGTCTTCCAGCGTTACTGATCCAATTACCCAGAGGACATCTGTTCTTTGACTTTGTCAAAGACCCAAGCCAACGGACTCCCTTCTGTTCTGCCTGACCACCAGTCCCTTCCTGTCTCCAGCTCTGATTCCATGGTCTTTAACCATCCCCCATGAAATCCCCAAACTGCCCTTGGCATCAAACCCAGCAAAGCCCCCAACCTAAATAATGTTCAGTTTCCACCTAAGAGTCTCAGAGCGCTGCTAAGAGAAAGTCCCGATAAAACAGGCCATCCTGACGTCAGTACGCATGTAAGGTCAACACCCTCAAGCAGACCTTCACATTCGCAGAAATCCTACTACTGTGTTCTGGTGCCGACTGGCCTCCACTGTCCACAGCAACCGCCCCTTTAACCCGCCGCCATCCCTTCTCCAGGGACTCAGAAGATGGCTGCTTATCTCACAGAGACGATGATCTGAAGCCACTTCAGCTGTAATCTGCAATGTGCTTTTCTTCCTTCTCCTCTCCCCTATTACTCCCCTGCCCTTTTCCTACTCGGGGCTGATCCCTCCCTCCAGGCTCTAGATCCTGTCTTCTTGGGCTTTCTCAGAAACCTTACTTTGTGAACCTCTCTGTGCCTTTTTTTTTTTTTTAATTTTTTTTAATGTTTATTCATTTCTGAGAGAGAAAGGGACAGCGTGGGCAGGGGAGCGGGGAGAGATGGAGAGAGGGAGGATCCAGAGTGGGCTCCGTGCTGACAGCGGAGAGCCCCCTCTACGCCTTTCAATATGCCCACAGGCGAGAAGGCTGAGGAGGGTGGGAGGGCAGGCAGGGTCCTCAGCCTCTCCCCCCTCCTCTCTGAAAGGACTGACTGTGGTCCCGAAGTCCACATTCCTTCCTACATGCTACCCTCAACACAGATGCCTGCCATCTTCGTGAAATGGAAGCAGATCAGCTCACTTCACTGCTCTAAACCTTCCAATACTTTTGCACTTTCCTAAGCCCTCATCGTGATGCTGAG